ACGTGACCTTCACTTAACGACAAGTTGATCATTTTCATAATGACAGGTGTTAACTCACTGGCACATAATTTCAGCAGCCATGTTGGGATAGGATCAAGGTTACATGTTGCATTCGACGACTTCATGATTATGTTATGGACTTCTTCTTGGACTCAGAATGCTGTCATACAATCTCCAGTTAAAAAGCGGTCTGAAATTTTTTCTCAGTATCCAACTGGAATATCAGGATTCAAAATTTCAGTATCCCCCTGAGAATTCAGTATCCCACTTCTGGATGCAATAAGTTTCCATAACTCTCTGTTACAAATTACAAAACAGGAGACTTGGCAGTCAACAACTAGAACATTCATTAATACACTAAAATACAGTACACATAATCCTTCAAGAAACATATTTAAATACTAGTCTTCAACGAGGAAAGGCTGGTGGCTAACTCATAGTATTCAAAAGCTATCAGGAGACCATCACACTGGTCAGAGGTGCTTAAAATTTTTCTAATGTTTGAACTATTTTTAGTATCCAGTCGGGATACAAGTCATTCACAGTTTGGTACCACTATCCAGGACCAAATTTTAGCATCCTGTGGATGTCGGGATACTGCAAATTTCAGGCCCTGATTACTTTTCATTCCAATTCTGAATATTTACGTACCTTAACTGGTTTGAGAAATCATCTTCAACAGTGTCGTCATCCCAGTCATCTTGCCAGATATGGTTTTCATCTTGATCTTCTTCTTCACCAGTCCAAGCTAACAAGAAAACATTTTATTAATAAACTCTCCACATGATGAGCAAAATCGTCAGAAGTAAAATACTAGGGCACTGCAGCAACTCAATACCAAGTGAACATACAATGAATTTCTTTGTGACTGTTTTGACTTGCTTTTAAGCAAATTGAAGTGATCAGTGTTGGTGACGTTGGTTGGTGGCGACCTAAAAATCATTGTTTTGGGTATTTGTTCATTTTTATAAAAAATTGCGTACTTTCACAAAGGCTGAGAGTTGGTTCATTGAATTCATTCCAAAATTTGAAAAATCAAATGAAGATCAAATTTTAGTAAGTGCTCCAATGTATTTAAAAACTAAATTCATTATTGGTTTTGGCTGTTTTTCAAAACCACCTCAGCTTATTTTTGTTTCGTTCCCCGCAGGAACGAAACGGTACTGTATTTGGTTTCGAGCAATGTCACAAGAATGTGACGTCAGATATCAAAGTTATCCAATCCTTTGCCAGTATTCTTGCTGAAACGTCAATTACATTTAGAATCGTCCAATGACATGACCGCTCCTAGCATAAGAAGTTTTTTGGAGGCGTTGCGTATAATTGGGAATCTTAGTTAATTATACTGTGGTGTGACGACGTGGTGTCCTAGATTTTAGCCAGAATAAAAGGCTCTTGCTTGGCCTTTAATTCATCTAAGCCTGGCCCTTACTCTTGAATTTAGTGTCTTTTTGAGAAGAATAAATACGAGGCCAGATAACATACTGCGCTTGGCCAATACTTCATGCGAAAAATTAAAAACGAAGAAATATGTATATATTAATTATAGGCATAATTATATAATTGCACTCTCGTTTCCGTATGCTCTTGTAATATATAAATAGGAACTCCGTAACATGTTTACAACTTCTAGGCTGCTTTCGTTATCTAAATTTGGAAATGGCGTAGATATCTATGGGCGTGACATGTATTGGTATTTAAAAATAGTAGCGTAAATGTGACTCTGATGTAATCTTTCTACTGTCAATAATTTTTAAATCAACCAATCAAAGACAAGAATGACGAATTGCAATATTAACTCCAAAATTAGGACATCATTTGGCCCTGTGATCTAGGAGTGGACGGAGTGAGAGGATATGCGATTTTAATGTTTCAAAATTAATAATGAGTTTATTTACAAATTAACCAAGAAAATCGTGTCGTAACGTTTTTGTCCCATAAACAAAACTTCACAAAATATACTGTTCTATTATCTTACCGAAGGGGTTTCATCTTGATTTAAAGTCATCATGTTGTTTTATTGACAAATATACACTGACGCCATTTTGAATCTCATGAATCTCATAGGAGGTTTATAGAGTTAGGGATGGGGATTGGGCGAGGTTTCGTGATTGCGTGACATGAAAACATAACCAGAATCTCGACTTTCCCCCACATATTCTTTTTGCTATTTTACGACATGGCAGCATTAACAAAAGGCGACAAAGTCATTAGCCAATGAGATTGCTTATCGCAGGTGGGTATCAAATCTAGCAGGTGAGTATATCAAATCATTGCCGAAGGTTAGCGCTGTCGACCAATGAAAACGGTTTTTGAAGCTCATTTATGGGATAATGAAAATTACTAAAACGTGCAAAAAAATTACCAAAGACCGCCCGCCTCGCAAAATGGCCTGATTTCATTGCTCGACATATACAAGTGATCTATGGTGACAACCGCTAATTACAGACGTCTAGTATTTCTATAATTATATTGGAACGAAACATTTCTTTTTTTAAAGAAATATTTTCTTGTTGTTACAGTAACTGAATCAAATGGATTGAATTTACAGTAAATAACTCCATTAAGTTGTATTGTGCCCAAATGCGCCCAACTTTGCATTTTACTCAGGCTAACACCAGATGATTTCGCTCATCAAGGGGAGAACGCTGGTGCTCATTGGGGGCCCTGGTGCTCAATGGATTAATCAGACTGCCCACAATCTGCACATATGCTGGTGCTCTCCCCTTGACAATTAAAACTGTTTGGCATTGGACAGAGTAAAATAATGTTTGGCACATTAGGGCATTCAATGCAACTTGGGTTAAACTACTTCATATATTACCAATTTATCATAAATATTAGTTTAAAGGAAAATTTTTCTCAGATGGACATGCTTTTTTATTTTTGTTTTACAATCTTTGAAAATGCATGAATATTAATTAACTGATACACCAAGGCTGTTTTGATTAAAAGACTGAGTATCCTTCTACTTGATGTGCCATGGAAAGAAAAGTCCTTTTAAGAAATGACCTTACTGTACATCATCTTAACCTTCTGTGGACTATATATTTCCCCAGCAGTGAATCAATGTTTTACTTGAAACTTTAGCACTCAAATAAACTCAGGGAAGGATCAAATACATGTTTCTGCTAAAAAGATGTCTGGTAGGTAGGGAGATTTTCCTGCTTGAAAACACTGAATTAAAAAATAGTAAAAAATAATGTTGAAAAGCTCTGAATCTCACTGATCCCTTCAATAAACATGACCACAAAATTCACCTTGTATATACTGTACAGGGCGCGAAATAACGGCCGGTCAACGGACAATGTTCGGCCAGAATGCAGAGTTGTCCGGTGACTCCGGTCAAATGCTCACCCCGGCCGGTTATGTTGACCGGTTATTTTCAGTAAAAGAAGAAACTAATCTTCATTTTAATTAATAATCAAAGTGAAATTAAGAACCATTATAATTATAATTAAGAACCATAACATGTTGTCGAATATTTTACAGGAAAAGAACTTCTGATCAATGTACGCCAGCTTTCCCACACAGCACCCATGCTTTTGGCTTAAGAGTTAAGGCCATGCTTTTAGTGCAGATGCGCAGTGCAAGCTGTTTTATCATATGTGAAGGAGTTTTTAATTACTGATTACAGTAAGGCTTTTTCTAATGCTATATGGGAAAATAGTCACATTTTTAGGGGTATACTTTGCTAGGCTTTGCTTTAAGCTGAATAATTTGACCAGCCAGATATTCGGTATGTCCGAGCTAAAATTGAGTTGGCCTGTCACCTTCGACCCTCAGCCATTATTTCGCACCCTGCTGTACAGTATTTACTTTCCCATGGGTGTCTTACTCATTAGTATATTTCAAATTGAGTTTATTAACTGTATCTTCGCACAGCAGCAATAATTCGTATTTTAGTGAAAAATTCAGCATATTTGTAAATGCGACATCTTTGTGACAGTTGCTGTTTGGCAAGATTAAGGCAAATTTTTACGTACTAGCCAAAACCACATTGCGCACTTGGTCCAGAATTGATTCATCAATCATGCAATGTATGATCCTACGTTTTGTTCACACACAAATGTGTGGATTTTCAAGAGATTCGATTGGTAAATACAAGAAAATAGGGTAGGTAGCAAGAGACCTAGACGTTAATTAAAGAAGTAAGCAAGACTGCATTGAACATTTTAACTACACCTGGAGTTGTTCAATAGAAATGAGAACATTATTTTTGGGTCACATTTCTACAAAAATATTCACATAAAATTGAAAAACGTTGTGAATATGTTGGTATGCTTAGCTGCCAAATGAAGTAGCTGTGAATGTCAAGCCAATTTGAACTTTATCCGTCCACCCACGAAAGATGGCAAAACACATGTGGCTTTGCACTGTAAGTGATAAAGTGAATAGTAGCCACAGCCAGACATTAATCTACCTGAGTCTGACAGGGGCTTTGCATCATATTGAATTTTTTGCAGAAATGTATATTTAACCCTTACAGTCGTAAAGGTTGAGTTGTCGAGACAACAGGCTTTTAAATTATAATCAATTATTCAATACATTTTTGTTCAAAACTTAGTATCTAGGTAGTGGTCCAGAAAACATTCAGATGAAAGCTTTTACTTCACTAGCTCGTGAAATTTATAAAATCTACATTCTAGACGACATGCCTTTATAGTATTATTGCTATTAAAAAATAAAACGACAAACAAGAATTTACAAGATGAAAATTTCACGCTTAAAACATCCACACGAAATATCTTTAAACATTGATAGTCGATTCATTCTTCATATTAATTTCATTGAAAATTCGTTTTGTACCTTCGGTTGGAAATTCTTCGAATTCATCGTCTTCTTCAAGAAGTCCTAAATCTGCTTTCTTCTCGTTCTTCTCCGCGGCCATCTTGGAATGTGAAGCTGTCATATCAAGTACTTCAAGTAACAACGATTATAACGGACAATTTTGTTGCGAGCGCTATATATATCAGCTGGAGTAATAATAACTCGAGTCCAACATTTTTACCGAGCTGAACCCAACCTCGTTCTGAGCTGAACCCAGCTTTTCCCATCGTTACTTGCTAGTCAAGTCATTACTTATCAATTCATAAAGCAAGGTATTATTCTCTGAAAAGCATCAGCAGATCAGTTCGGGGCCATTCACAAAGGATGTCCGAGCCGAGGGGGGGAGGGGGGTTTGGAAAATCAGGACAAACTCGGACATAGGGGGGGAGGGGGGGTTTTTAGCAA